ACGCTGCTGGCAGGCGAACTGGCCTGGTTGACAGTGTTTCAGTGTAATTTTCCTACCACCAGAGGGAGAGGTAACACTGCTGGGCGTCACTAGCTCATCTGCAATACAAACAAAAAAAAAAAATGTCACACCTTGCAACAGCTCAATTTGAAAAACTCTTTTTCAACGGAGAAGAAGAAAATGAAACTCATCACCTCCTCTGCAGCCGAGGATCTCAACACGTAGGTTGAATGTGTGTCTGAACTCCACGGGAATGATGCGCAGGTAGCGAGCCCGGACAAGCCTACCGAGCCAGCGGGTCACAGGGGTCCGACCCACCATCCGTACTTCGAACACCTACACCATAACAATAAAAAGACCATAAACATCAAAAAATCTTTATTGTATATTAATCACAATCTACACCGGTATGCCAGTTAGTTCTATTCATCCAACACAAAAGTCATTCCTGCACAAAAAGTGAAGACAAAGTAATATTAGGCTGTTCAAAAATAATGAAGATGAATGTTCCTTAATGTTTTGACTTTGAGTTACTATGCAGGATTCCCATTGCATTTGTGTGTATGGAAATAGAAGTTATTACAAGTGCTCCGAAAAATTCACTTTTCTGTTCTTTTTCAATTTGTGGATGTTTTAAATAACTTATTGTCCACTGCAAACCCTACTTCATAGAAAAATGTTGTTTTGGTGAGATCTTGTGCCATCTTGATGTCAGTACCTTAGCAGGACTACCGGGCTTGCCATCCTGTGTATAGTTGGTGAAGAGGCTGCCATGCAGGGCAAAGGCTAATCTGTATTTCGTGAGGTAACCCCACATGCGCTCACTGCCTTGCATCACAACCCCTGAAACCCACGTGGGCTCTAGGAAATCGACCTGGAAGTACGGTTGGAGGTCTGTAGGCAAGGGGCTCCATCCAGGCTCCATAACTTGACTGCAAACACCATGGACAAATGTTTCAGTGTATCTTTTCATTCATGATTTAAAAAAAAAAAAAACGCTGGTAAGGGTATTTTTGCAGCACATTGAAGTAACTAGCCAAAATTTTCACTCACACATTGGGAATGATATTCAATCGACCGGCATCAGCGGGGTTGTTTTCACGATAGGAGGATGAGGTCAGCTGACCATAACGAATGCTTCCATCCTCCAGTCCGAGTGCAGAGGAGCAAATGCCTACAAGGATATGTCCATACAGCATGTGTAATACATTAAAACACAAGGGGGCAGCGGACATGGTTTGACAATTACAGTATTCTCCAACTAATTTCTAGCCTAAGTTGCACAAGAACTTACCACGATATCCAGTGCCACCATCCTGTAAATGTATTAAAAAGTGTATAAAGTTCACATTGACACATTCAAACTCCTAATTATACTGTATATACCTTTGAAAATATCCAGCAAAGGACCGAGAGGCAGTGTCAGAGAACACGAAAAGCAACAGAAACTTTGATAAATCTACTTACTGTTGGTGATATTGCAGGGATCCTGGAAGGGGTTCTGATCGGGGCAGCGGTGGGTGTGTATGGTCTGAGGATATGTGTAAATGCATTTGTATTGCATATCAGAAGGGGCTGAACTCAAGAAAATATGAATTACAACATTTTGTTGCAATTTAATGACCTCACCTGTCAGACTGCGCCGTGACGTTCTCAGGCAGGTGACATTCACTTTCATCATCTCCTCTGGGACAGTGAGGAATCCCATCGCAACGTTTTCCTGTGTCGATACAGCCCCCTGGTGGAAGGCATAAGTACTGACCACCCAGACAGCTCCGAGGACTTGTCGGGTAGGTCTGTGTGCCTGGAATAATAAGGCCAGTGCGCATATGTCAAAGTGATATAAAAAAACAAATGAACAAATTAGATAAAAATCTCACCACAGTACATCTCATCCGAGCCGTCACCACAATCATCGACCCCATCGCAGATAACTCCTGACGGGCCGGCTGGTACACAGCGTCCATTTTTGCACTGGAGTTCTTTTTCTCTGCAGCCACCCATTGGCGAGACGGTCCAAGTCGGTGTGGGTACGGTTGACCAGCGATACCCTGAACCAGACAAGAACAAAGAGTTTTTCATTGAATACGGAGCACGCAATATATACTGGATATAGACAGCATCAACTAACCATGTTCACATCCCATAATTTCAAGACGAAGATAGATGCCATTATGGAAATCATGTGGTAGCAGGCGGACAAACTGAGCCGACACCATCCGGTCCAATTTGATCTCAGCAACCCCTCCCTCATTGTGATTACCATGAAAAACCTGCAGCAAGAATTGGGCAAATGACTTTGAACATATCAACCCAACAACAATGTGATGACCAGACCTTAGCTCTGGGCTGCGCGTCAGTCACAAGCTCTTTGTAGATGTACCACAGTTTTGCATCTCGGCTAAACTGCAGATATAAGCTGGAAACGTATGTGTCAAACACACCACCCCCTTGGGTAAGTACCCCTGGAGAAAGGAACAGAAGGTTTCGCTTCACAAATTCAGTGTTACATTGTGAAACGAGCATGGCCAGGTCTAAAAGTGTACCCGTGATGTTGTATTCTTTCAGTAGGTCAATCTGTATGTAGGGGCTTTGTGCGTTGCTACTGTGCCCCTCGCGGCTGCGCTGTGGTAGATCCTTATATTCTTCTGGTTCTGGACTCCAGCCCTGCATATGAAGCATGGCAAAAAGAACGGCATTATACAGAAAGAACAGAAACACGTGCCCCTATATTCTGCAGGACAAGACTGCTGCTCATTATCTATCTTGCATTCATACAAGTACATCATAGTAATTGTGGGCAACAGGGTGAGTTGTCAGAATAACTCATAAAACATAACCTGAACCAAATCATTAAAAAAAAGAGCATATGAATAATATTCCTGATCTATTGTACCTGAAGGTCTGTGTGGGGGTCCCAGCCATGAAGGCGAGCTGCCTCAGGGGGATGACCGGTTTGTTGAGATGAGGCATGGAAACTGGAAGCCGGTAGAAACTGAACGCCCAAAGGAAACCAGCACTCCTCTGTAGAAGAAGATTGAAAAATATCATTGCACTACACCTATTACAACGGGATGGTGCCATAAACATTCTCGTGAAACTGCCTGATGATGCAATCATAAGTCACTGACCGCCAGGGGGGAGTGGGTAGGTGGGCACCAAGGGAGCGATGTCCTTTCCTGGCTCGGAAGTCACAGGGGAGGGGCTGAGTGTCACTGCGGAACTTTTATTGCTCGCTGTGCAGAACATTGAATATAACACAAGCTCAATGAGGAAAAGGCAGCAACAACAAAACATACACGACTCGCAAAAAGACAAAGTGGCAAGATGAGCTTTCGGTTAAAATTTCAGGATAAATAGGAACAGAATAATAAAAATTTACCTTGACAGTAACAACATGTGTCACCCTCTCCGGGAACTAGACTCTGGCCCTGCATAAATTGAGAAGTACATAAATGACTCAGTTACTATAATTGGTAGGAAAAAAAAATAGCATGGATAAACAGAGAAATTCAAATAAAATGATGCAAGTATATTTGAAGTCTTTTATTATGGCATATGTTGAATTAAGGTAATAGATTTGTCTATGACCTGTGGGCATCCGGTAACAGCATACGGGCAGTAGGGAGAGCACTGCACCGAGAGGTTGGGCAAACAATGACACAAGTGGCAATGGTCGGACCTCCACCTGTCCCCAACTGTGTGGGACTGACCTTGGTACTCGCACTCATCACAGGGGTCAGTCTGACATCTGTGGACACGCGGATGAAGAAAGTACATGCGAGAAAGGCAAGTTCAAGAATGGAGGACTCTGATGTTCAACTACAATGAAAAATCAATGTACTCGCAAATGTTTGCTCTAAAATTAAGCAGGTATGACGAGGCAACAGACCGACGCGCTTTTCGATAGATGCCTCTGCAGGTTTTTGTAGAGGAAAAAAAATAGCATGGATAAACAGAGAAATTCCAATAAAATGACGCAAGTATATTTTAAGTCTTTTATTATGGTATATGTTGAATTAAGGTAATAGATTTGTCTATTACCTGTGGGCATCCGGTAACAGCATACGGGCAGTAGGGAGAGCACTGCACCGAGAGGTTGGGCAAACAATGACACAAGTGGCAATGGTCGGACCTCCACCTGTCCCCAACTGTGTGGGACTGACCTTGGTACTCGCACTCATCACAGGGGTCAGTCTGACATCTGTGGACACGCGGATGAAGAAAGTGCATGCGAGAAAGGCAAGTTCAAGAATTGAGGACTCTGATGTTCATCTACAATGCAAAATCAATGTACTTGCAAATGTTTGCTCTAAAATTAAGCAGGTATGACGAGGCAACAGACCGACGCGCTTTTCGATAGATGCCTCTGCAGGTTTTTGTATCTCCGTGGTTGGGTGGGTTGTTTGGACTCCGGAATGACCACTGGACACTCTGCACACCACATGGCCCCAAACACTGGCCCCACTCTGACCATGACGACCAAGCGCAATGTACTAAAGGGGGATTGCATTAAAATAAAATAAAAAACAGAGGGGGCCAAGTCAAAATGATGAGTTGGTTTGTTGTTATGGAATAGGAAAGAAAACAAAACAAATGATTTTAAGACCAACCAGAGCAGAAAATTAAAAACAGAGGGGGCCAAGTCAAAATGATGAGTTAGTTTGTTGTTTTGGAATAGGAAAGAAACAAAACAAATGATTTTAAGACCAACCAGAGCAGTCCGGGTTGGGTTGGCATCGTCGAGGTCTTCCTCTCTCACAAACACAAATCTCACAGTCCACCTTCATCTGCTGTCCTGGCCTGTAGCGCACACCTGCCAGCTCACACACACACTCCTCTGGCAACACACATTGCTGTGTGTGGCTCATTACCCGCCCCTCTGGACACCAGCAGCCTGGAAAAAAAATACAACCTGTAAGATTCAATAAAAAAAATAAAAAAGAGATCCAGTGTGCCTATTATGGGCGACCTGAGAAGCAGGGTGCTGTGGGATCGCAGGTAGTCCCACTGCTGATGTGAGCGCAAGACACAGGGCAGGGGGAACAGTTGTGTCTCACCAGGCCTGTCGGACAGCTGCTGCTGGAACAGGCATCCTCCGAACAAGGCCCTGATGTAGAAGCAAGCAGATGATGTGAGGCTCAGTAATTGCTCTATCGCGAAGCTCCATACATGATGAAAGTTGGGCTTGCGGGTAGAATGTCAGGATGAAGATGCGCTCAAATCTTGGTGAACTTAATTTGATCTCTTACTAATTTCCAAGCTTAGGTTGGATGGTCCTGGGAGCTGGAAGCAATCTCGTCCTCCATTTTGAGGCAGGATGCAGTCTCTGTGTCGGATCTGCACTCCTCCACACTCGCTGGAACAGTTTGACCAGCTCACCCATGGAAGCCAGCGACCATCCACTGGTTAAGACGGAACATTTTCATTGCCAGAATCATTCGGCTTTCACAACTCACAAAACTAACTCCACATTCATACCAGGGCAAGTGGTGTTGAAGCACTGCTGCTTCTGGACCTCCTGACCCCGACAGTGGTGCAATATGTCTCCCGCGGGACAAGATCTGCGCCGGCTCATGGAGCCTGTACCACAGGTGGTGCTGCAGGGGGTCCAAGAACCCCAGGAGCCCCAACTTCGGCAACCCTGCTCATCAGTCGGACCCCCGTGCGGTGCCAGTGAGGAGTCTGGGCAGTCTGCCACACCATTGCACATCTGGATCGGAAGTCAATAAGGAGTTGGACAACATGTTGACATAAATCCTGCTGTCTTCTCTTTGAATAAATGGAGTGAGGGGTCAGGGGGCAGACATGAACCTACCATGTTGAAATTGATACAAGATCCATCCAGACAGGTGAATTCGGGACAGGAGACGGTGGTATTCCTATCGCCAGGGGGCGCTGGTGAGACGTATTTACCTGGACATCAGACATTTTACAGGTTGATGTTTTCTACCGTCGGCCTCGGACCGTGCTAAGAGTATCTTAGAACAACTCACCACACAGGAGCTCGTCATCACCCCGCGGACAGTCAGGGATACCGTTGCACACTCTTGACATGTTCACGCAGGTGCGATTGTCACATGAGAAGCTGCCGGGACATGGGGGGATCCGGACTGAGCCTAGAAGACAAACACAGTGATCAAAGTCGCCCTTTCCTCAAGTCAACCTTTACAATCAGATGACATTTGTCTCATGTTTGACTTACCGCAGTTGTCTATGCTCTCATCTGATGCGTCACGGCAGTCTGCGTTGCCGTCACACAGTTGCTGGTAACGCACGCATTGGTCGCCGCTCAGGCAGAGCACTTGGCCAGGACCGCAGAGTGAAGGGCACTGCTGCTCATCACTACCATCCAAACAGTCGGACTCGCCATCACAATGCCAAGTTTGGGGCACACACTGCCCACCAGTGGCACAGGCAAACTCATAGGACCAGCAACCTGTAGAGTGTGAGAAAACATGTATTATTATTATTACTAGCTCTGCTGAGTCAAAATAACAAACCTAATCTGCTCAAAATCCACAGTTGCCTAGCCAGTGGTTTGAGAAATCAACCCATCATTTTTTTTTTTTAGTGTGTGACCTGAGGTTGGCACGGTCGGGGGGCACACACTGCCCACCAGTGGCACAGGCAAACTCATAGGACCAGCAACCTGTAGAGTGTGAGAAAACTCTGCTGAGTCAAAATAACAAACCTAATCTGCTCAAAATCCACAGTTGCCTAGCCAGTGGTTTAAGAAATCAACCCATCATTTATTTTTAGTGTGTGACCTGAGGTTGGCACGGTCGGGGTCAAAGGTGAAGGTAGCGGAGGAATGAAAGAATAACAGTTGGCTGGTTTTTCGTCCTCTCCAGCCGGGCAGTCTCGTGCTCCATCGCACAGCGTTGTGATGGCAACACAAGTGCCGTCACGGCAGGCAAACTGGTCGGGTCCGCATGTCACTGTACATCAACAAAAGAAAACGAGGATGAGGAGCCGTCAGACACACAATTCATCACTCTTACAAACTCTACTGAAATGTTCTTTCTCACGCTCAATACTCAAATTGTTATTTTTTTTGCTCACATACTTTACCAAACCTCACGTGCATTACCAGACGCTGCAAATGCTCATTTTACCTCCAACTGGACAGACAGCTTCATCTGTTCCAGACGGGCAATCTCTCAGTCCATCACATACTTTCTCTGCAGGGACACACTGGGCCCCTGGGCACTGAAATTCCGTTTGTGCACAGACACATCTAGAAAACAGCCAACAGATGAGGTCATGAAGAATGACTATGGACTTGGAGACAAAATAAAATATTGAAATTTGAAGCTAAACTGGGTTTCATTATCATTTGTGTCATGAGTGCCTGCATATAGAACCAAAACACCGATGGATATACCATAGCAAGGCCTTCTTGGAATAGTTTTGTTTGTCACTATTACTCATTGTGTTTTTTTTCCTTCAAAATATGCGGAATATAGACCATTAATTATGACATACCCCCTTTCGTCACTGAGATCTCCGCAGTCATCATGGCCGTCACAACGATGAAGGTAAAGAATACATCGTCCTCCAGCACAGAGGTACTCCCCTTCATCGCACATGACACCACAATCTTGGACGGGAAACAGAATTCCTCACAGTGAATAAGAGCTGGACCACATTTGCGCGACGTGAGCCTGAAAATCGCATTTCAAGGCCTTGTATACGACGGCAACGACTTGCCCACATATCACTTGCGTTACCTTGCTCATCAGAACCATCAGCAAATCCACAGTCCAGCCGTCCGTCACACACACGGCTGGCTGAGAGACATTTCCCGTTGGCGCACTGAAACTCCCCCGGTGGGCACAGGGGCACTGGAGTGGCGGGGCCACAGTGCTCCTCGTCTGATTGGTCAGCACAGTCTGGGTGGCCGTCACAACGCAAAGCTAGGTTCAAACACGGTCCACTGGCAAACCCAAAAAGGAAAAGGTGCCGTTTCAGTCCATGTGGTTCTTTCATGGAAAAAAATCTTAACGTCTGTACTGTGCCATACCTCGGCGTGCTGGTGCAGCGGAAATGTTCCGGTGAGCAGGTGAATGGACAAATCTCATCAGTGCCGTCACCACAGTCATCTTCATTGTCACATACCCATTCAGAGGGGACACAGAGACCGCTTGCACAGGAAAACTCGGATTCCTGACAGGTTGGCACGGGATGGGGGCAAGCTACCCCATCGCAATGCCACACACCATCTTCGCAAGAACTGGATGAATACAAGCAGAGGAAGACCACTGATTGAGTATGATAAAAAAATCAAATAAAAATAGCCCAAAAGACATTTGATGTCTTCTTTTGATGCGTGGACTGACCAGTTCTGGCAGTGTTGAGTGATTGTAGTTCCAGGAGGAAACATGGACCCCTTCCACTCACATGGACACTGGGTAGGAACTTCACAGCTATCCCCTACCGAATAAAAAAAACTGATCATGACTATCCTCTTGTTGAACTTTATGGTGTTAGTGTTTTTACACAACACCATACAATACAATACATGAAGATTTATGAATACACTGTCTTTTAGGCGACCATTACAAGCATTCTAGTTTGATATATCTTACCGTATCGAACAGTACCAGCGGGGCAGAAGCAGCCCTCCACACAGGAAAGGACGTCACATTGGGAGTGAGGACTCTGATGCACATTGGGACATGAAGGGGAGCAAGCCGGACCGCACGGGTCATAAACAAGTCCATTTTCGCATTGCAGGGCTTTGGCAAAAACACAACCAAGGAGAGAAATGTAGTTACAGTCTCCTGGAACGTAGACAAATGTCGTATTTTGTCGAACATACGACAGAGCTCCTGGGACCTCCAGCGAATGTACACCCCCCTGCGGTTACACTCTTCGGCATAAGTGGCGATGGCTGTGCACAAGCACTCACAGTCCCCACCGGAGTCACAGCTGAAAGTGAAAGGAGGGGAAAATGAATGCACCGAAGAAAATATGGAGAGCACCAAGACAGCTCGTGTTGATGGCTACTCACCCACACGCATCAAAGACACACCAGTCATAATACTGCTGGAAGGGCACTTCAAGGTGGCATGGAGAGAAGAGCTCCTGAGTCAAAATGCCACATCTTTTCCTGGCCCACGGTACTCTGTGCGAGTTAACCTGCGCATCGATTTTGTTTCAAAGTGACATCAACTGCCTGTACGATCAATCCAGTCATCATTTTTCCTGTCGAGGGTCACGGATGAGCCGGAGCGCACACATTGGCGGCTCTGAGCGTGACTCACCGAGCAGGGGTCTCGAAGATCTTGGTCTGCTACATCGGGGCAGGATGGGCTGACCTTCCAAGAATTCCCAAACAGCTCAGCGGTGGACTCCACGATGCCTTGTCGTGTGGTGAAGTCATTCTCCGTGTCCCCATCGAAGTTACCGCACAGGCCTCCAACGTTTCCCCTCAAGTGTGCGGCCAGGCGCACGTACACACGCATACCTGCAAGAAATGTGCACTTCATTTGTTATTTCACTTCCATATCTAACAAAAAATTAAATAAAAATACGTATCCACCGTAATCCGTATACATAGTGAAGCCATGCTGAAGCATGAGATTTCAGACTTGGTGCGCGAATCCTACCTCCATCCCACAGCAGAGTGACCCCAAGTCTGGAGGAAAGTGACACAAACATGCCCACTTTTTCCAAAGTCAGACCACTCCCGCTGTAGGTCTTGGGTAGAGTCACTGGCATCCCGTTAACGGTCACTGCTTTACCTAAATTAAAGATGAGATGATTTCGAGCTATTGCGTAGTCAACATTTTATACGCACACTTAATATATTCCCGGTCATTTCTGAACGACGACAACAACACGGTACTGGTTTAAAATTTCCAGTAGAACAAGAGTTCTTACCCCTCAGCAGGTGTATAATGGTGTTGCCAAGGCTGAGCGTAACGGACTTGGTACAGGTGACCCCGGTGCTTCCGCAGGGCACGTTCTCCGCCGTGACGCTGAACAACCCGCTGGTCTCCCTCGCCAGGACGTACTGGCAGTCTCCCAGGAAAGAGAAGTAGCGCCCATCGAACGTCACGTAATGAGGGTCTCCGGTAGCCACGCACATGCCGGCGCAGGCCGACTGGCTACAGTGCCAGTGGCGCTCCTTACACACACTGCAAGAGTAAATCAGGTATGGAGTATTTGTACTACGTATACCAAGGGTTTCATTCAGTGAGACTGTACCATGTGTTGCAGTCTTTCGTGATGGTGTCGTTGCTGTAGTACAGGCGGCCATTATGGCGACACGGGCATTCGGCAGGCAGGACGCACTGATCACCCTGCAGGATAGACAAATTCATTTCAAACTAAAAACTCAACAACAGGCTCCCTTGACAGATCTGTGAACGGTGTCTCTCCATGTTTTTTTGTCACATTTTAAGGGTTCAAAAGTTGAGTTTGCACCTACAAGCAGGACAGTTCCGGTGGGGCACACACAGCCAGATAGGGGCTCTATGCAACTCAGCAAGCCGGACCCTTGCTGCTGATTTGGGGGGTCCAAACTGGCGCACGTGAGGAGGCATGAACGTGGAGCGTAGATCAGAGAGCCAGGACACTTGTTGACCTCTTCGCAGGGGGCCCGCGTGCAGTTAAAGCGCCCCTCCTCACACACGCTACGGAGAGGTGAGGGGCCAGAAGAAATATAGTTGAGTACATTGTTGTGTTTGGAATTTCACCATAAACATCCTTTGTCATTCTCACAGCGATCATCACAGCCGCTTTGTGGCGAAGAGAAGCAATGAAATCAACCTATCCTGTCAAAAGAAGCAGGAACATAGAGTGATTTCATCAGAGCTCTTGCACCACCAGACACAATGCCTCGAGCAACGTCCACTCATATGTGCTATGAATTGTTGCAGACTGGCGGATTTTCACTATTCTAGGCAGGCCTCGGTTTGGACGTCAAAGTAGCAGCAGCAGCAGCAGCACTGCATCTGCATTTTAATTAAAACTGTATAAAGGTAACTACAAGGCAACCAAATCTGAATGGGGTTAATTCTGCACCAATGCACTCATCCTGAGGCAAAATTCAGATGAAAGAGCCGCCACGACATGCCGATTCTCTGCCGTCTGCTGCCAGGTCGGCTTTGCTCATGATAATCCCTTCTCAATTAACCTGAATAAATAAAGATTAAATAAATGTGACAGAACATTGATCCATTTGAAGTGGTACTCACTGAGTTACTAAGAAGTTCGATCATCAAAGTTTTTTTTTCCCATTTTATTTGGGTTCAAGGGGCACTCTTTTCAGCAGCAAGAGAAGAAAAGTTAGACTTAGATGAGTCCCGCGTGCTCAACTGTGTCCTTCAAGTTGTTTACACAATGGCTTACATATTAGTTATTTATTGTGGCTCAAGTGAAACACATACAGGGTTATCTTCTGTGATGTTCTGTCAATCTTACAAACCTATTTTCTGCTTTTGTGTTCAGGCCAAAGGAATAAAACTACTGCTTTGCTGTCAACTTGGTGTCAGGGCACCATGGTGAAGTGAGCTGAGGAGCTTCATTTCTATGTTTGTGCTTTGCTGCCATCTTTGGGCATCCTGTTGCAAAGGAAATATTGTATTTTGAAGTGAGCTGAGGAGTTTCATTTCTACAAAAGTGCGCTCTACTGCCATTATTTAGAAACATTTTTATCTGGGGCGCCAAATACTCGAGATCCCAGCAGGGCTCATCCACTATCCGCTGTGAATACTACTACTGACTTAAAAAGAACTAAAAAATTGGTCTAATCTTTGCTTTCAACATACCAGGTCTTACAGCCGTTCTGAACAAATTCCCCAGGTAGATACATCTTGTCTCCTTGAACACACAGGCACATAGTGGTGGGCACACACTGTCCTTGGTAGTCCTGCACGAGTCCTGCAGGGCACTGGCAACCCGGAACACAAAGCTCATCACCGCCACCGCTGCCGTCATCATCACAGCTCCAGCCGTGCTGCAGGTCTGAACACTTGCGGCCGCATGCTCGACCGCACTCATGATGGACCTGACCCCCGGAACACTGGACGGCTGGGGAGACGGGAGGAAATAGGTTGGAAAAATACATTAATGTGTTCATCACTGGCAATGACAGAGTTAAAACGCTGAAAAAAAGAGAGCATATACTGAAGCGTTGCAAAAGCGGAGAGTTTGCTTTGTAAACTCCCAGTGGATTCTGTTTTCCACTTTGACTTTTTCTTCAAGCATAGATCCACGATTCGAATCCAGCCAGGCATTTTCTACAGCACTTGAACAATGCATTGTTTAATAATTAAAAAAAAAAATAAAACAAAGATGGGTTTCTCCCCCCCCCCCCCCCGCCCCCCAAAAAAATAGTTTTCAAGCTCACCCAAATATCGGAATTTGTTTGCAAGGAGATTAAAGACAAAAGCCAGACGTGTTTGTTTTACTTGGCATTTCATTGTATACACCACACCATCTACAAATAAGGCCTCTTCACTTCGCAAAAAAAAAAAACAAAATTAAAAAAAGCACAGGGCATCTTTGACCAACACATTCCTTGCGTACGTGCTGCCACGTCACACTTACAGCAGAAGGTCTGGTTCCGCCATTGGACAGCGATACCCTCCTGGGCACAGTGTCGGGCAAAGGCAGTGAGCACTGTGCAATGACAGGCCCTCTGGGCCGCACAGCTGCACACTTCGGATCGACAGAGGCGAAAATAGGGCTCCCTCTCCACGACATCGTGACATGCCTAAAGGAGGGAATGAGAGTAAATGGCACTTGTAGTTTTCTCCAGGCCTTGAACCATAATGCAGTCTGTTATTCATGTACGTTATCATTATAATATCGACATTTGTTCTTGGCCAGTTAGCGTAGCAGCTACCTGGGAGCTTCATTTCACTGTAAAGAATTTATTCAGCAATGTTTTTGGAAACCGTTTTCACGGTATAGATGAAATTAAAAAATATATATAAATATATGGTCAGGTTAAAGGTCATTCCTTTCTGGACTGACCCACTTAACATAGACATTTGTTCTTGGCCAGTTAGCAGAGCAGCTACATGGGAGCTTCATTTTATTGTAAAGAATTTATTCAGCGATGTTTTTGAAAACCGTTTTCACGGTATAGATGAAATTAAAAAATATATAAAAATATATGGTCAGGTTAAGGAAAAAAAGGTCATTCCTTTCTGGACTGACCCACTTAACATCGCAAACTAACCTGGAATACTTTGCTGTGAATGATGGAGCAGACAGCGTCAGCATAGTGTCTCTTCTGAGTGTACGTCGTGCAGGGGTCTGGAGGGGCTCCTCCGGGTAGAGGGCAATGTTCTGTGGTGAATTTGCCAGCAAAAGACGACACGCTGCTCTCCACATCTCCTTCTGGGGTCATAAAATCATCATGCTGGTTCCAGGTCAGTGTTCCACAAAGGCCGCGCACCTACGAGATAAAATATACCCGAAATTAATCTAGAGTCTTTTGGGCTAGCGATTTACTCAAAGAAGCGCTCTCAGCTGACTTGCTTCTTATACCGCAGTGACTATTAAGTCATTTTTCCATGTTGAAGTACAAAGGGGCTGACAAAACTAACGGCAAGTGTACTTATATATCCGACAATGTTGGTTTCATTCCACTAAGCACAGTGAAACTGACATGTGACGGCCAAAAGTCGGGATAAGGAGAAAGGCAGACGATGCCCTCCGCACTACCAGGTCTCCGGTTACCACAGGCAACAGTTCCCTCTGGCCGTTCAACGTCACCACACCTGGAATAATGCGGAGAATTCAGATTTCAAGCGAAGCAAATTATGATACAAAAGAGTCAATGCATTTTTTTTTTAAAGGATTTTACAGTATAGAGGCAGGTACCTTCTGCCACAAACTCACCGGTGTCAGTGATGATGACTGTAGTGCGAAGTGCTGTGACTGTCATCTCGATTAGACAACCGAGGCCTGTTACACCGCTTCCTCCTCCTGCTGTGCACTCGCCAGAGCGTACGGTCACCACAAGCTTTCGATCGACGTAGTCCTGAAAACACGTTAGAGCACTGATGCAATGCAACTGCATGTGCAGTGTATTGTTTAC